GACCATGACAGGGGCTCAACCACTATGTCCCCTAATCCATGATCACTCAACCACTGGCCGGAGGCAAAAACTAAGTCCAGCGTATGTCCTCCGGTGTGAGTAGGGTCCCTAATTAGTTGGGTCAGGTCCATGGCCGTCATGGAGGCCATGAACTCCCGAGCCACCTCAGACGTCTCGCCTACCGACGGCAGGTTGAAATTATGACTTTTTTGTATACCAAATCATTTCAATTAGAACAAAAAGAAGTAGTTAGGTAGGTAGATAGGGAGGAAAGGAAGGAAGGAAGGAAGGAAGGAAGGAAGGAAGGAAGGAAAGAAAGAAAGAAAGAAAGAAAGAAAGAAAGAAAGAAAGAAAGAAAGAAAGAAAGAAAGAGAAAGAAAGAAAGAAAGAAAGAAAGAAAGAAAATTATCAATCTATCAAGTAATACTTGGTTAACAAGTGAAATAATATATTTTTGTAACAATTCTGATGAGAAAATAATCTTCTTTTCCTAAGTGACTTGAAATGTGAAAAAAAAATGTTGGCAAAATAACTAACAGTGTTAAACAGAAATGCAAATCAGCAGGTATTTTTAAAAAATACCAAGAGTTCCAGGAAGTTTTGCATACTGAGAAATAATATAATCTCGTTGTGACCATACGCCATGCAAATTAACTCTTAAAACTCTTCATGTAGATAGTTAGATCGGATCGCACTATGGAGCAAATAGTCTTCCCTGTGCCCAGCATATGTGAGTTCCTCACCAAAGAATCTAAACTCCGGGTGTACTACACTACAGAAAGGGATGAGCAAGGCAGCAAAATAAATGACTTCTTTATGAGATCTGAGGACCTTTTTAATGAAATGAACTGGCAAAAAAAGCTAAGAGGTAAGTTTGGACTGGGGACACAAAAGGTTATTTTTGGATACTGTATAATAATTTCTGATTTGAAATTGCAAACCTTTTTTCTTGAAAGAAGAAGAATATTAGACTTTCATGCCTTTTTGTTTTTTTTCTTTTCTTTTCTTTTTTTTTCTTTTTTTCCCTTTTTCTCTTCCTTTACTTTTTTCCATACAAAGGTCCTGCTTTCAGGTTTCCAGAACGGCTTTGTTTAAACACTGCTTCAGCCTGTTGCTATTTATTCCCATTATATCCCCAATTAATGTTTTAAACATACAATACAAGGAAGCAGCTAAACGATTCTAACCCTTTCCAGTTGTGTCTGACTGTAGGGCACAGTACTCATCTCCATATCTTGGCTGAGGGAGCCAATATTTTCTGTGGTCATGTGGCCAACATGGCTATGCACCAGAGGTGCACAAAACATTCTGACCTTCCCACCGAAGTGGTACCTATTAATCTACTTGCATTTGCATGCTTTCCTGCTAGGTTGCATTCTTTCCCACTAGGTTGGCAGGAGCTGGGGCAAGGAACGGGAGCTCACCCCATTTCACGGCGCTCAGATCTCGAACCAGGGCTGTCAGCTCAGTTCCAAGATCCTTATGCAGGTTGCAACCTTATAGCTAAATTATACTATTAACCTCTGGCAGTTTTAGTTTTATTTATTTTAGTCTTTATTGTAAACTAATTCTGCTGAGATTTAAAAAAAAACAAAACAATTTTATCATGGTATAAGATTTCTTGAACTAGATACGCTAACCCATTTTATTGGATGCTTAAAGATTTATCCCTAGTGCTGGGAGAAACAGTGTCTTATATTTATCCTGCTCTCTAAATCTACATCTCCCAGCCTTCAAAGCTATTGTCAGCACATATGGGAAGGTGGAATAAATGTTGTTGTTGTTTTTTTGGTTGTGGATGTAGATAGCAATGCCAGTAGATGACTGTCCCCCAATCCTGCTTATCTAACCAAGTTACTTCTAAGATGGAACTATACCAGCCTTTCGTTTTTTGGCATCCTTCAGATACATGGGAAGTGCAGCTATCAGACTCAATCATATTAGACTGAATTTTGAGTGCTGTAATCCCAATACTTATCTGAGTTGCCCAGAGTTCAATTTTAAGATGTGTTTGCCCCTAATTGTATAACCCAGAAGCACCCACAAAGGGGATCAAGGGGGGATAAATGGCAAAAACAGCACTGCACTCTTGTGACTCAAGTACAGCCCTTTTGTCCTTGCATCATCACACTGCATGTGTGAAAAATAGCGGTGGAGCAGATTGTGCAACACTGTTTTTGTCACCTTGATGGAAGCATCTTCCCCTGTGGATCCTAATCTGGAAAGTGTGTGTAATGTGATTTGATAAAATAAAATCAAATATCAAATATCTAAGGTTAAATTATATCCTGCAACATTCAATTTCAATCTGAAAGTAAAATTTCAGTATTATAGACTTGTATATGAGTATTTTAAATACATGATTTCTGTTCTCGTATTTACAAGTTTAAGGGGTTATATAAAAGCTAGTTCATGTTTAAAAAAAAACCCTTCACATGTACTTCTGACCTTTGCCAAGAGTAGTTAAAGAGACTTAAATCAAATAATAAAGATTACTCTTGTGGCTATAGTGTGCCATTCTAGGAAAAGTGACAATATATATTTGTTTCTAAAATTAGCTAGTTCATGTTTTTTAAAAAAAAACAAACCCTTCACATGTACAGTATTTCTGAACTTTGCCAAGAGTAATTAAAGAGACTTAAATCAAATAATAAAGATTACTCTTGTGGCTATAGTGTGTCATTCTAGGAAAAGTGACAATATATATTTGTTTCTAAAATTTATTCCTTGTTAAAAGATAACTTTGAATCCATCAAACATATTTTTCCTGATTTTTGCAGCTCAACATATCTTGTATTGGTGTTCTCGCAACATGTCCTTCTGGAGCAGTATTTCATTCAACCTTGCAGTCCTTATGAATCTACTGGTAGCATTTTTCTATCCATTTAAAGGAGTCAAAGGAGGTACCAATATTTCAAAGATCTGAATTTAATAGTTACACCACAGAGATTTGGGGCAGAAGGAGAAGTAAATGAACGATATAATTTTGGTAGCAGTTTTAGTGATTGCGATGCTATGCAATTTGAAATTTCTTAAGTGATGAGAAACCTAAAGAAAAAGTATTGAGAGTCTAATTCAGAGGTGGGCAGCTATGGCCCTTTTACAATCTGTGGAGTTCAACCCCCAGACTTGAGTTGAGCTGAGTTGAGTTGAGTTGAGTTGAAGTCCACAGGTCGTAAAGTATTTTATTCTGGCTTTGGAAATTGCACTTTTCTGATCTCTGCCTTATTTACAAATATGTGCAAATACACAAACAGAGAATAACTAATACACATCCCTTAAAGAAGGCATGACAACAGCTAAACATTGTTTAGATGTCAAAGAAGTTGAGTGAGAACCAGTATAATTAAAATCACTGATGTCCCTTTTCATATTCACATTATAGCGATACTTATAATATTTTTGCATAATTTTGTTTTAAAACAAACACATTAAAATACATTATTATATATTGATGAATTAAGAACTATGCTGAAAATTTTGCAGAAATATTCAGACTAAAACAGTGGTTACACTCTATTTCTCATGGTCAGGTTAGATAAGTTCACACTGAAATGTGCAAAGATCAAATTAAGGCCTGTCATATTTTATCTTAGTTTTAAATTTCCTGTCGCTTCAGGAAGCAGAACATCTCAAACTAAAATTGAATTTTCATCCCAGTGACCAACCACAATGACCAGAATTCCTTAGTGCAGGACTTTTCAACCAGTGGTACGGGTACCACCTGTGGTACATTGGCACCTGGCAGGTGGTACGTGACCATCCTAGAAAAGTGGTAGCAGGGGAGGGGAATGAGCTGAACCAGTGGCAGCACCACACAAGCCTGAGCGAGAGATGGCTGGAACTGCAGGGCTGTCAGGGTTCAGCGGAAGTGTCAGAATCAGTGCTTCTTCGGGGCTGTCAGGGCTCAGTGGAAGCGCCAGGATCAGCGCCAGGATCCAGCTGGAGCTCGGCACTGATCCTGGCGCTTCTGCTGAGCCCAGAAGAAGCGCCGATCAGCTGGAACATTGCAACATCTCCAGAGTCTTGTGATTTACATTCAGATGCTTAGCATCTGATTCATATTTATGACGGTCACAGTGTCCCAGGGTCATGTGAAGTGACCAAAACCTGCTGCAACCACCCAGCAGACAGGTGGAATAAAAATCAAACACCCCCCACCCCACCCCCGCTGCCAATCCTCAACAGAAATGCTCACAACAATGAAAACCTCGAACAGGAGGAAGAGCGTCGCCGGGCGGGCAGGCAGGTGTCTTGCTCGGCTGTGGCTTGGGGGGCACTTTTTTCAGTGCCATTGTAACTTCAAACAGTCACTAAGCAAACTGTTGTAAGTCGAGGACTACCTGTACTTTATCACTTTTTTCCTTTTTTTTGTCATCAAGTTTTTGACACCTTGCTAGGCGACTGGTGGTACTCGGATGTTGCCATATCCTAAAAGTGGTACAATGGGTGAAAAGGTTGAAAAGCCCTGCCTTAGTGGCATATCAGTTCATTTGACAAGGAACTGATGCCTCTCCTAAGGAGTAGAGTAACATGTTAATATCAGATTATTAATATCAGATTATTAATATTTGGTACTAGACCCAAGGGGATATAGATTTTATGATTCTTAATAAAATACTATTTCCCCAATACTTACAAAATTTACAAAATTAAAGACTAAAACTAGAAGATGGTGTCATTGGCACCTTATTTTATTTGAGTGCAGACTAATTAATTCCTATACAGTGAAGGGGACTGTTCTTTTACAGCATCTAGACATTAGTCGGTTAGTGAGCAAAGCTGGATGAAGAAATCAGAAAATAGCATTTCTCTGGGCAATCTTGAAAATATTTCCTGCAAGTAACTGCCAAGCTGAGCCAGTTTCTCTCTAAGTTTGTTTTCAGAAAAAAATTGATAAGTTAATTGCTGAATTGATAAACCTTGGTTCATTTGTTTGGAAAAAGCCTTACCTGTTGTACATTTCCTGGAATCTGTTGGGCAGCTTTTCTATATTTTACTCTGCTGCTAATTTGTGGTTTAGGTGTGAGGATATTGTGGCATGCTGCATTGTTTTAAGTTGTTGTTAATAATGGCAAGGGCTCTGTGGAGTCACACGAGGGGAGAATAAATAACAATGAACTCTGGATGTTTTCTTTTGCCAGGTACACTGGAGCCCCATTTGTCAGGCTTACTCTGGACAGCCATGCTGATATCGCTTGCCATTGTTATCGCTTTACCTAAGCCCCATGGCATTAGGGCTTTAATAGCTTCTACAATATTGCGATTAATTTTTTCTGTAGGTTTACAGCCCACATTGTTTCTTCTGGGGGCTTTCAATGTAAGTGTAAAATATATTTTTTCTGGTATTTGTTGATATTTCAATGAAAAAAGGTCTACTTACCGAACTAGGAATTTTTTTTTTTTTAAATAAGGTTGTGCCCCAGAATACTAGCTGTGTTACACTTAAAAGAAAATATTTAAAAGGACATTCTCTGGTAACAGTATTGCAAATATATCTCATGTATACAATTTTTAAACTTGTCTTATATTAAATGGAGAATTAGCATTTTAGCCATGCATTAATCTTCTACCTGTTTTTGCTCTACAGGTTTGTAACAAAATTATATTTCTGATGAGTTTTGTTGGTAATTGTGGAACATTTACTAGAGGATACAGAGCCATGATCATGGATGTAGAGTTTCTTTATCATCTACTATATCTTTTGATTTGTGCAATGGGGCTCTTTGTTCATGAATTTTTCTACAGTTTATTGGTAAGTGTTTCTGTCTATGAACTTAATGTTTGTTGATCATAATGTCCATAGTATTACATGACAAACATGTATAACCAGAGACCTTTGTGGTGGTCTGCAGGAAACCATTCTGATTGTCATTGTTGAAAAATTACAGCAAATCTTTCTATGATATTGAGAAAGAAATTATAAAAACTGTAGTTGATGCTTTAAAAATCATCCTACAATATCTAAAGACATAATTAAAAATTCCAGCCTCACTCAAATCCATGATATGACCATGTCAACTCTGCATAGTGTGCCTGCCACCCTCCCTGTACTATACTATATAGTAGTATAACTACAGTAGTTACGCAATCATTGGAAGACTTCCAGAACCAAGTTCAAGGCAGATTGTTATAGATAAAACCTATGTGGTTACTGAGAGTCGATACTGACTTGATGGTCCATAATCAATCAAACAATCAACTATTCAGTCAGTATACACTATAGATATTTCATAACTTGCAGGCATTGGTTTAGAGACCATTCTAAGCTACAGTGGCACTAAAAATAGTGACTTGCAACCAGTTCTTGCACTTAAGACTGTTGTGACATCCCCACAATCAAATGATCAGAATTTGGTAGCTTGACAACCTGCATATGTTTACGATGTTTGCCGCATCCTGGAGTCATCTGGCCGCCATTTGCCACCTTCCCAGTTGGCTTCTGACAAACAGAGTCGATGGGGAAAGACAGATTAGCTTAATAAACACAGATTTGCTTAACAACTATAGCAAAAAGGTCATAAAATTAGGTTCAACTCACTTAACAATCACCTTGCTTAGCAATGGAAATCTGACCCCAATTGTTGTAAGTCAAGGACTACCTGTATAATATGTATAGTAACTATACAGACACATGCACACATATATACACACACACATGCACAGAAACACTGAGAGCAAATGTAATATAGTGGTCATGGTTCTGACAGATGAAACTCTTCAAAAGAACTTTGAGGCATTGTTTACCTAAAGAATCTTTTATTTGAGTAGCATAATATCGGCACTGCATAATCAAAGTCAAAAACTGAATTCCCCTCCTCTGGCACATAGTATCAAAGCATAATTCCCTCCTCCAATTGACAGTCATAAATCACATTCCCCAATTAGCTTGAAGCAAGGACTTCCTCTCCAGTTCTCCAGCCCACCAATTCTTTATCAGCTCTGGGCTCAATAACCTTGATTCTCACGCTACGTTTAGTGTTGTTATGTCTAGCTAGACTCTCATTCACATACACACACCCTCCCAGCATCATCTAATTCTAAAAGCGAAAGGGAAAAAGATGGCTACATTTTCATCTGTTGTCAATGCAAAACATCCGATGTTAGCAGCGTTGACAAATGGTTAAAGTCCTAGACCATGATAGGGATGTCTCAGATTCTAATCCTCCCTTTTGAGGAAGCTGGCTGGGTGACTTGTGCCAGTCTCTTTCTCCCTGGAGTTGACTAGGAAGTTGAAAAACTTCCATTGATCAACCCGCACTGAACCAGTGTTGCAGATTATGGCCCATAACTTTCAGGAGCTTCCAATTTTCATTCTGCAGTATGGTGATTTGAGATGAGATTTGTATCATTATTGTCACATCAGTGTGATTCTCTGATGTGAAAGACATACTTAGAATGATGCTAAATACATTTATATCTATTCATTTATGTATCAAAAGCATTCTTTTAGATCTACAACCTAAGAAATTATACATTTTTTTTAATCTGTGGCAATGCATTTTGTTTTAAAAGAATTGTCTAGTCTGGATAGAATCTAAAAGAAATTTTTAACCATTTCTGCATCTGCTAAGACACTTGGTAAATTTCACTGTAAAACGCTATAGTGTGTTTCTTTCCAAAGAGGAAAAAAGGACTCCCACAGTGGTCTTTACATCCTCGTTTCTGTTTTGAAGGAACCTTTTAAAAGCCTGAGTGCCTCTTTTTCTTTCCGAGATAGAGAAACATATACATGCCTCAACCTGAATAAAATTGATGTTAGTGAGACTAATTAATTAAAGGGAGAAATTACACATTTTAAAACGATACATGTAATGACTAAACTGCCTGTCAGTTCAATTTGGTTACAAATCATCAAATTAATTAGCAATTGTTTTGAGGGAAAACATCTGATCTTTTTAGAGCTTTGTCTTGAATTGTAATGTGTTGTGTACATGCCAATGAAGCTATGTCTTAACCTACTGATTCCTGGGAAATCAGTTTTACACAACATGATGCAACACTGATTGGAAATCAGCTGCCCTTTTCCCTTCCAAAACACATTTAAAATCAAGTCCAAGAGAGATGTTCATTAAGATTTAGATAGGGAATCTACACATAATTACATAGTTGTTTGCAAGAAGCCATGGTGAGAATGATCAAACTGCAGAGACACTCTCTGGGAAAAGTTTACATCTGCCCTGAGATTTGACTAACAGTTTCATAGCAGTTAACATAAGTTTCAGCAAGATTAAAGTCTTGATGTAAAGAATATTTGTGCGTGTACTGAAAACAGTTCCCTGTTCTGTATCCACTAGGTCTTTGTATTTTTCTTTCCATTTCAAGTCAAAGAAATTATGAAGAAAATGATGCTTAGTTCATAATAGAGCTAGTCATTAGCTACTGAAAAAATTGTGTTAGGAAATTCTGAGTTTCCTGTGCTTTGGTGGATTTAAAGTGGCACATGTCCAGCAGCTGGTTTTATCTGGCTGATCTTTCAGGGTTTAAACACTTTGCTGTTGTTAGCTGTGAAGTCGTGTCTGACCCATCGCGACCCCATGGACAATGTTCCTCCAGGTCTTCCTGTCCTCTACCACCTTTAAACACTAACCAGACTCCAATCAAGGAAAGGCAGTACAGGGAGAACCAAAACTTTAGAGTAGACTGGGAAGTACTTAACTAGTGATGAAGGCTCCAGGCCAGAAACAAGGAGACTGTGAATTTCAGTCCTGCCTTAGGCAGGAAAGCCAGTGAGTGAATTTGGGCTAGTTACTCTCTTTCAGTCCAATTTACCTCACAGGATTATTGTTGTGAAGAAAATAGGAAAAGAAGGAAATATTAGGTATGCACTCTGCCTTGAATCATTTATAAAAATAATAAAGGCAAGACTTTTAACAAAAAACATCTAAAGTAAAGACACAAAAGCATCACAGGAGAAGGCGGTAGGAAATTACTTCCATACTGTTGCCAAGAAAACCAAACAATTGGGTCTACTCTATACAGTGTGGAGAGGCCCACTTAACCTGAAGACGTTTAACTTTTTGCTTTATCAGCTGGAAGGAAGTGCTTAAGACTTCAAGAAAAGCTAACCAATTTGATTTAAATATTCCTTTTCCCCTAAAGTGTATTTAAAATTTAAGAATAAACCCAGTGATGATAAAAAGGGAGACTAAAAATAGAAGAGAGTTTAGGAAGAGAAATTCATCAGAGACATTTTCTGACAGTTAGAACAATTGATCAGTGGAATAACCTGCCTCCAGAAGTGGTGAATGTTCCAACACTGGAAGTTTTTAAGAAGAGACTGGACAGCCATTTGTCCGAAATAGTATACGGTTTCCTGCCTGAGCAGGGGGTTGGACTTGATTACCTCCAAGGTCCCTTCCAACTTATTGTTGTTGTTGTTGTTGTTATTATTAATAATAATAATAATAATAATAATAATAATAATAATAATAATAATAATAATAATAATAATGTTGTTCTTGTTAGACCAATGCATTACTCTTTTGCTTTTAACATACAGTATCTAAGTTTCTAGAATAGGAATTAAGGAATGCTGACAGTTGTCAGCAAACTAGTTTTGTTCTTTCAGTTTATTTGGTATAATAATGTTGCTGAGGATTTGTTTGTTTACATAGAATCATAGAGTGGAAGGAGCTGTTAAGGCCATCAGTGTAGGAATCCAAACCAATGTATCTCCACTAAATCCCTATCCAGGCTCTGCTTAATCATATCCTCTCCAGGAAGGTCATCATTTCCCTAGATAATTGGTTCCACTTTCACACAGCTCTTAACTGTTAGGAAACTTTTCCTAACCTTCAGCCAGGATCTGCCTTCCTGGAACTTAAGACTCTTACTTGTGTCTTGTATTCTGAAGGAATCGCTTAAAAAGATGTAGCCTTCTATTTGGTTTTTTTTAGTAAAAATGTGTCAAAAGATCGAGCTGTTTTTTCTAAAAAAAAAAAAAAAAGTAGGTATCAGGATTTTATTTAAAAAGCGTGTTGTTCAATTGTTTATGTAATGATAGGCCATTACCTCATTGATTGTTAACGCATTGAATAAACTTTTTGAACTGTCCTTTTCCAGCTTTTTGACTTGGTGTACAGGGAGGAGACCTTGCTGAATGTCATTAAAAGTGTCACTCGCAATGGACGTTCCATCATCTTGACCGCTGTTCTTGCTCTTATTTTGGTTTACCTGTTCTCAATAGTAGGATACCTGTTCTTCAAGGATGACTTTATCTTGGAAGTAGAGAAGCTACCTAATGAGACATTATTGCCAGGTTTGTACTCAATGCTTGGCAAACAAATGGCAAAAAATAGGGGGTTAATCTTGTGAATGCTAATCCCTTTCCAGCCCACAGGCAATTTCTTGCTAAAACCAGTTGTACTTTGGATTATTTATGCTTATAACTTGATTTCTTAGTATTTGGAAAACTTAACTAATGAGATTGCAAAGCAAATCAGGACCACATGTAGAAATGTATACATTAAGAAATATAACTGAAAATAAATGTACAGGTAACTTGTACAGTCTTAATTCTATACCCAGTGTATGTTATAATAATAATGTGATGTGGATGATATATGAGAAATATAATGAAAAAGTCCCTTTTTTCCCTGTAATTATTTGGTTCCCAAATATCACATTTTACAAGAAGATATTAGTCATATTTATATGCCCCTCCCCATATCACAAAAAGCAACCTCTGTTTGTGGATATAATTTCTGGAATATCTTCCATGTATGAATTAATATGAATCCATATGTTGAAGTTCACAAGTGACAATAATCAAAACCTGAATGCACATACAATGGATACCAGATATAATGCATACACTGATACCCCCCCCATCCCTGAAAGCCTGGAGATGACTTGTACTCACATGTACTCGGAGATGAAAGCAGCTCTTTATGAAATCTGGAACCCTACAAGATTACCCAGAGGGCTAAATGTCTGTTTAAGCAAATATAAGTGTAGTATTCCTTCACATATCCCAGCCAAATATGAAGAGGTGAGAGTGGGAGATAGGACCACCTGCCTTCTAGCTATTTTCAAACCCAACCCGAAGAGGACTATATACTTGTCACTAAATGTATATGCATTGGGAATTAGCATTGGCCACCTTATGTTATCACAGGTGTTCAAACAAAAGTAGCCTACCTCCCACATTGTTTTTCTGGAATATTTGGTGGGTGGAAAATGAAAGCACTATACAGTATGATTTTGCAACACATGCATAAAAATACTATCTGTTCACTGAAGCAAGCAATATAGCTTTTGCTTTTTACATAATCAATTATCAGGAATTTCTTAATGTTAAACTCTATAAATTTAAGCAATGTTGGCAGCATGTTATGTCATTATAACTAATGCGCTAAACTGTTATTGGTACTTTTTCAACAGAAATAGTGCATATTTTAAAATTAGTAAGTATTATAACGATTAACAACAATATTTGTTAATAGATGTGTTAGTTACATAACAACTTCAGCATTATTTAAAAGCATTTAGGATGTCTTATTTTACCCCATTGTAGATCAGCATGATGAAATTAGAGAGCCAATGACTAGAGAGTTCTTATATTCTAATGTGTGCAAAATAGAGGATGGTGAGAATTGTTCTTCTGTTATTCCTTCTTCAGGCAAGTATATTTCATTTGTTTTTTCACATACTAGTGTGCAGTTATTTTTGAATGCTTCTAATATAATTGGGTGCTTATTCGTTATGGATTTTTATATATCAACCCTCTCAAACACTATAACAGTAGCATGTATGAGACAGGAAGTATAAGGAAACCATGCTGTAATCATAAAAAGACTAGAATACTGAACACACATTGCTATGTTCCCTATTGTTACCAGCCTAATATTTGTTACTGTTGTTAAAGGCAACAAATCAACATTATTTACAGGTTACCCTGAACAGTGCTTTCCCAGAGCAGAGTTATATCAACCATTTCATACAATCCTTCCTCTGATCTCCCACTTTTTGTTGTTCCTTATTTTTTGGGGGGGGAGGGCAGTAAAATTACTCATTGTGTTGAAAAGCTAGGATTGTACATATAAACTCATACAGTATGTTGTAAATTATTTCTATCCTTAAAAATGAGACATAGGACATATTTTTATACTATTAGAAATGTTTTCTTCATAGGAAGAATGCCCAATTCATGTCATCTGAAGAGATCGCTAGTTCATTTTTCTTAATGTGTAACATTTACTACAGCCAAAACAAACACAACATTTTCTTTGTAGAATGAATGCACAATTAAAATCACTCTGAGGGGCCACCAATTTATCTTTACTAAGTTTAAGGGGGCTAAGATGCTGCATTAATTGTGGAAAATTCTTGCTGCTTCTGACTCATTAACATTTAATTTTTTCTCAAATGCTATAATCCAGTCTTGATCATATAATAATGTAAAATTACTCACATATATCTGTGCATTACTGCCTCTTTTAGTGTGGCCCCAGCCACATTTTTTTTCCTCCACATTTTTCAGTTCCCCTATCTCTACTGCTACCATCAGTAGCAATAACATTCAGGAATCTTTATTGATCTAGAATTATTGTCCCGATGTAGTGTTAGGTGCATACGTATTTTTGCTGGAAAATTGGTAGCAGTTGTCTGTGTTTCTGAATTCAGGAAGACAAAATGACATTGCCTCTTCCTATCTTACAGTGGATAGACTTAGGTGGCCTCCAGAGTTTGTCATAAAGGGATAAGGAAGAATAAGAGTGGGCACTGGAGAATGGTGGGGAGCAGGAAGATATTCAAAGTTTTCAGTAGACAAAATAAATAAAAGTGTGCATCAGAAAAATGTTCAGTAGACAAATTATGTATGTGTAAATTAATTTGGTTGGAATTAGTGGCTACTTACAAGGTTTCAAAATTATAAAAGAATCTTGCTACTAAACATTGATGACATGCTTGCTTCTGAATTAAAATTAGAGATAGTCTAATGTTTCTTCATATTCTTGCGTTAAAATGTGCTTATATTGTGTTCTTGTAAAGACATCTCAGATGTAATGCATCAGCCTGCAGGATGAGAGTAAGTCAAGTTTCCAATTTATAGGATTTTTAAAAATTTCACATAAAAATTCTGAATAACCCAAGGAATCACAAAGCTCTGCAAATAGGCTCTTGAACTATAGGAGAAAGGAAAAGAAGCAATGAATGGTCCTTATTTGGCTTTAAAATGTTTGTACAAAATATGGAAGAGATCTTCAGGCTCCCACTTTCTCATGGCCGTGTCCCAAACTTCTTTTATTTAATAGAGCTATCTTCTGAAGAATCTGAAGAGGATAAAGAACATACATGTGAGACATTGCTGATGTGTATTGTTACTGTACTTAGTCATGGGCTGAGAAGCGGGGGCGGAGTCGGAGATGTACTCAGGAAACCATCCAAGGAGGTAAATTAACATTACATGTGAAAGGAGTAGTACATGTATGTATGTGATGGCAATGAGGTATTGAAGATAAATTATTATAAAAATGTGATATTATGTAGAGCATTAATATTGTGCAAAGTATGAGTATATTATGATGCCAGCAAATGTGTAAATACTTTGCTAGTAAGGAATGGTCAAAGTTGATGTTTTAAAAATAGTTACAGTTACTCTAATACAGAATTTACAAATGTTGCAGTAATTACATCATATTACCAGGCCAAGAACTATCCTAAATATCCATTTCTTTTACTACCTGTAAACATATTTTTGGCCATGAATAGGTTTTCATCAAATATGGCATGAGTGCTATAAAACTGTTTCCAACACTACTTTAGTTGTAGAATAATAAAGTTGGCAATAATCGTTCTATCAAAGCTCCTATTAAGTTCAGGAATCCAAATTAAACTATTACTGGATGTCTATGTCAACCTCCAGCTTGAATATCCTAATAAAGTCCAGGATTACTTTCATTTCTGAAAAACGTACTGGTTTATACAAGGCATGGTATAAGCAAAACAAAAGCAAAAACCTAACTCTAAAATTCCAAGGCATCTAACCATAGCATATAACAATGATATTCCCACAACCTCTGGAGGCAGGTTGTTCCACTGATTAATTCTTCTGTCAGAAAATTTCTCCTTAGTTCTAGGTTGCTTCTCTCCTTCATTAGTTTCCATCCATTGCTTCTTGTCCTGCCTTCCATCCAACCCCAACTTTCTCAGCTTTTCTTCCCTTTTGATCCATTCATTGTTCCTTCCTATATTTGTTTTTTTAATTCATTCATCCCCTCTAAATATCCAAACTGCCTCATTGTATATATTTTATACTAGTAGTTCAGTCTTTATTCAAAAGCAATCCGTATTCATTTAAGCTTTTCATTCTTGACTTTTTTCTTCCTGTTTTACTACATACACTGTTTAAATATGCCATTTCCACTGCATTCAGTTATTTCTATATTTCTTCTGATATACTTCACTTCCATTGAACAAAGAAGATCAAAGTATGCTCTTATGCACACCCACTTTCATATCTTTCAAGATTCATTCCTTGCAACAGACGACATACCATCTCATTTGTGTGTCTTCAGATATATATATATATATTCACTTCCCTATCTTTATAAACATTCTACCAAAATAAGCATGTTCCTTTAGTTGCTCTAGTTTTACATCATTTATGTATATTATAACATTCTGTTTTTCATATCAAAATCAGGGAACTTGATCTTTGATGTATTCTTTTTATCCTTGTTGCATAATACAGTCTACCTAAGATTCACTGCAGATTATTTGGATTCTCAGCCAACAACACAGCATTATTTGCATTCAAAGTTTACATACACTCACTTCCTTATACACCTATAACATCATCACAGTCATTTCTTATATATTTCTACATACTGTACTTGCTTAATGGTTTAATACAAAATATATCAAACACCCATGTCTTACTTTCTGTTTTATAATCCACAAGTATAATGTAGTATAGTTTGGTATGTATTGTACATAGAAATAGGAAACAAAAAATGGAAACTAAAACCTATAAAATAGAAATGATTTGCCAGAAAAGAACAACCTATATGTGGCATCTATATATCAGTCGGTCAATTTAAATTACATCCAAAGGGGCCCAAAGCAAGTTAGAAATATAATCTAAACTTGGCAATAGATATACATTTTTACAAATAAAATGTTTAATAAATATTATATAATGCACTTAAAATCCCAACTCATTGATTTGTTACTACGGACCTTGTTTTTTATCAACATAGTTAAAAATCTGGTTGTGCTGCTATAATTTTAGGATTTTTTTAGTTTTTTAATTTTAATATTTTTTTTACATACTAGTATTTCTTCCTGGTTTGTATTTTAAAATAGGCCAGATAATTTCCTGCTGAAGACACTTATAAAATTCACAATACAATTAAATAGTATCCGTCATTACAATATCAGTAGCATTACAGGGACAAAATCTTTGAGAGATGAGTTTTTTTTAAAAAAAAATTCTCCCTTATACCATATTTGATAGCAACACATATAATCTAGCTTTTGAAAAAGCTATTCTTTATTTACTTAAATATGAGTTATTCATATGTTTAGGGAATTGAAATATACATATCTGTAGTTAATTCCAAAAATTACAGGTTTACATGATACTTTAGTTTTTGCCATTAATTTCTATACTCCTGCATCTCAAAAAGTTTTATGGGACTGTAATTTGGATCACATATGCTAACAACAATGTAGTGCAGGTGGAATTTTTAAGACCTATTTTAAATGTCCAAGTTGTGTACCCAGTCTATTATTCTGTTGGAATATAACAAAGACCTAGTTAAGCAAATATATGTTTTTAAAACAAGGAAGGTTGGCTTCAGGAATTCCCAAATGAATCCTTTGTAGATATGTGGTTTAAACAGGAGACTTAAAAGATTAGTCATATTGGCATTGACCGTGGTTATTTATTCTCCAGAGGTATGTCATTGGCAATTCATTGTATCAAACAAAGGCATCTATAATGTTCACTGATCAAGTAATAGTCCTCTTTGTAGCTTTGTTTTCTTTAATACTTTACACTTACCATTGGAAAACTATCTGCATTTTAGGAACCTCTCTTTGCTGCAAGAGTGATATATGATCTCCTCTTCTTCTTCATGGTGATCATTATTGTCCTTAATCTGATTTTTGGAGTCATTATTGATACCTTTGCTGATCTAAGAAGTGAAAAACAGAAGAAAGAAGAAGTTTTGAAAACAACATGTTTTATTTGTGGTAAGTGTCAGAATCAGCAAGAGTTCAGTTCTAGGCAAATATAGGAATGTCTCCATTCCTCAGAAGAAATGCACACATTTTTGTGATTGAATCAACATTTTATGAATGTTTGTAGGGTGGCTTGTAATGTTAAGGCTTCGACGAAGTCCTTTCTGAAGGCTTCTGACTTCAGTTGCATAGGGTAAGAGGGTAGCATTCTCATGGATTGGCTGGGATTAAAAAAAATAGGAATACATGGGCAGTTCTAACATTAGAGAGATGTTCGAGGTAAGATCCCCTAAAAATTTGGTGCTGATATAATTGTTTTATAAATTACATTAAAAAATTGTAGTTAGGACTGAACAACATGGCAGCTATGTAAACAATCCAGACTGTGCCTATACTTTAGATCTGACCTGGTAGAGACTGAACAGGAAAGAGAATTATGGTGAAGAACATAATGAAAATGTGAAGCCAGAGATTAGCTGCTGTAAAAAAAGACAGGTTCCATGCATTGAAAAGTTAGGAAGGGACTCAGAAATAGAACTGCCAATGTAATAATGCCTTGAACAAATATAAGGTGGGACCTGGAATACTGTGGATTTTATATAACCAAAAAGTTAAAGAGCAAATCTATCATTAATCTTTTTCCAACCCCAGCCTTATGAGGAAGAATTGGAGCAATTGGAGCTGTTTAGCTTTAAATAAAAATAGGAAAAGATACACATTTTTAAAAAGTACATAAAATGTAACTTGGAGAAAAAAAAGCTTTTCTCCTTCTCTCATCATGTCAAAACCTGAAGGTCATTTTGAAAAGTTACTATCACCATCTAGCACCTGACTTCCCAAATGCAGCTTATTGATTACTGCACTAATTATCTGATCCAGGGCTCTTCTTATGTTTGTTTGTTCTTAATCTTCACACACTTATTAATACCCAAAACAGAAATAATCAGTCCTCAGCTATTGGTAGAAAGTCTGTTTTCTCTGCATATCATAAGTCTTCATTTTCTATACAATTGTATGTATCCCAGAAAATGAAGTTTTATGAACTGTAAACCATCCAGAGTCATAGGCTGAGATTGGCAGCCATTGAAATTGAGCAAACAAGCTAACAATTAAATAAAATGTGGTGGTTCATAATGTTTGAAGATATTTAAGGGCCAAGCAATATTCATTTGAATCTTATCAGAAAAAAAGTCTACAATCTATAGGTAGTCTTACATGTTAAAATACAGTAAAATCATGTAGTGCTTTCATGATTTTACAGTAAAATCATGTAGTGATCCTTAAAGAAAGCTGTTTTGAACAGTTTTAGATTATTGGGGTTGTCTTTAAAAAAAACCTTCAGTGGAATCCAGTCATCCAATTAACCAGTCAATGCAGTATATGAAAACATATGCTGTATGTGGTCGAATATTCTTCCTCCAATTGTGTTCAGAGGTTGTGTTTCATTTTCCTCATTAGGTTTGGAAAGAGACAAGTTTGATAACAAGACAGTGACTTTTGAAGAACACATTAAAGAGGAGCACAATATGTGGCACTATTTATTCTTCATTGTGTTGGTAAAAGTAAAAGACTCTACAGAATATACAGGGCCTGAGAGTTATGTAGCAGAAATGATAAAGGTGAGTTTTGCCATACTCTGTGTGAAATATGGCTTGTTTATACTTCTTTTCATTCTTCCAATGCCAGAAAGTCTGAATTTAAATTCTATGAAGATTTTAAAAGATTTGTAATGAGCATTGATCCATACTTCTTTATTTTTTTTCCTGTAGAAAAGCGTTGTTCTTCAGAACAATTATAATTTGTCTTCATAAAATTGTCACAAAATAATGTCTTGTCAATGTCTGACATTTTTGCAAACTCAACGTGTGGCCACCCATATTCTTTGGACGCTCAATATGTTGGATCAGGCCCATAGTTGGCACGGTGGTTGTGAATTCACTATAGGCTGCTTCCTCTTACAGAAGGAAGGAAGCCAGGTAGAAGTCTCCCAGCACTACTACTAGGTGGGCAGAATTTGGAGATAGAAACATCCCCTTCTCTGCCATCGAGTTTTCATAACCTAATCCAAGCGCAACCTAATTGGGAATACAAATAACTTTATTATATTTTATTACAAGCAGACTTGGCATTTAATAGCAGCAGCCAAAGCCCTTGGACTCCAAAGATCTGAAATTGTGGATCCCAATTGTGGATCCTCAATTAAAAATTGAGAGTTGGAAGAGAGTAGTTAGTTGAAGGCTTCTAAGTCATATTTTCTGAGTGAGGCTTACTCTCAGCCTCCTGTCATATCTTTTCTTACGAATGAAGGAGAATATACATGTCCCAGGATATTGTTGTAGGATCCAATCTGGGTCGGTCACCAGGACCAGAGTTTTCTAGCAGTGAAATCTGAAAGTTCGGAAGACAAAACCTATGGTCCCAATGACCGATCCAGATTGGATCCTACAATATCTTTTCTTGCACATCATAATCAAAATTCCATTCTTCTGTGACACCACCCCCCCCCAAAAAAGAAATACTGACCAGTACCTCCAGCCTCTAATTCCCTATCTAAAGTTATAATTAGATTATATTAAAGCAGATGATTCTGGGTTAAATCAGCATCTCAGATTTACCAATCACCAAATTGCTACCCAAACTACCTTCCCTTCTACCAACTCACCCATCTGTTCGATGGATAATATAGTATTCTCATCTGGCTGTTAGACCTACTTCAAATATTGAGTAGCATTTGAATGTGTATAGATCCCCGATGCCACCCTTGAGAACTTATACTATTAAAAAATAATTCCTAAAATAATGTTGCACTTTCCAGTTAAAATTAATTCATTGTGAATATGACCTCTGTTTTAACTGTAATTATATTTTGGTTACTCTAATCACAGAATAGTACCCAATGTACATTTTGTGATCATGGCAAGATTAAATTCATTTAATAAAAGCTATGATTTAATATTAAACTGGTTAAAGGATTCTTGAAACAGATCTAAAGTACAATGATCATATAATGGTGCTGCCATTATCTTCATCTTTGGGGTTATTAAACTTCTAAAAAAATATATCTGTGGGAATCAAACGAACTGAGCTAAATAAATCTTCTATTTTTTGTTTTTAGACTCTCCTTAACAGCAAACGGGACATCTTTCTTGTTTGTTTATATTTCTGTATGTCAATTTAAGGATTTATCTTTAATGAATCTTTTATAACCCCTTTAGAGGCAGAATGCCTTTGTTTTGCCAAATGCTCATTTAATCCTGAATTCAGCTTCCTGATTAACTTAAAGCACTGAGGGCCCGGAACATGTTTCATTTTTCTCACGCCTTCTGCCTCATCAGAAGTCTATCTGGATGAAAAATTCCGCTGAATGTTTGCCTCCATTTATTATAAAATACACGCAGTTGCCCTTGGAAGACCATTATGCAGCATATATTAAATGGTTTTTGAAGATAAATCCCCTTAAAATCTCTCATTATGTAATCCATTCTGCTTTGAATTCTTTTAAGCTTGTGTCCTACTTCTGAGTATTCCCTAGATAATAGCTTCTTTTAAATAGTGTTGTGAGTAATCGTCTGACAGTAGATTAATGGGTTAGGAAAGCTTGTCACCTTATCTTGTTCTCACAGGGCTAGAAAGTTTTTGGAATGTAATTTTGTATTTAAGTCAAAGGATTTGCCTGTAAAAATAATTGCATGTTGTGTTTGTAATGGCATATAACTGACAAAAGTTTTGTAAACATGTAATAGCACATATTAAGGATTTTTTGATACAGAAAACAGCATGGCTTTTTAAAAAATTTAGTAACCATTCACGCAGCAATCTAGCAGGATTTTTAAAGAGAAAGATGGCCTGTTTTCTAAGTGCATGTGAAAATGTCAAACAAGCAATTGTTACCAGAATTTTTTATGGAACAAAATGCTTTAAAAAAAATAGTTACTCCATGTTCAACAAGACTTGTTTTGAATAGAATAGAGCTGGAAGGGGCCTTGGAGGTCTTCTAGTCCAGCCCCCTGCTCAAGCAGGAGAACCTATACCATCTCAGACAGGTGATTGTTCAGTCTCTTCTTGAAAATGTCCAGTGATGGAGCGCCCACGATTTCTGAAGGCAAGCTTTTCCACTGGTTGATTGTCCTCACTGTTAGGAAGTTTCTCCTTAATTCCAGGTTGCTTCTCTCTTTGATCAGCTTCCAACCATTGTTTCTCATCCTTCCCTCTGGTGCTCTGGTGAACAACCTGACCCCTTCTTTCTTGTGGCAGCTCCTCAGATACTGCTATCATGTCTCCCCTATTTCTTCTTTTCTTTAGACTAGCCAAACCCAAGTTCCACAGCCATTCTTCATATGTTTTGGTCTCCAGGCCAGGCCTTGGATCATCTTAGTTGCTCTTCTCTGAATTTTTTCCAAACTCTCAACATCTTCTCTGTGATATGGTGACCAAAACTGGCTGTAGTATTTGAGGTGTGGTCTTACTAGGGCTTTATAAAGCGGTACTAATACTTTGCGTGATCTTGATTCTATGCCTTTGTTTATACAACCCAGGATTGTATTAGTTTTTTTTGTTGTTGTTGCTGCACACTGCTGGCTCATAGTTAAGTGATCGTCCACTAGGACTCCAAGGTCTCTTGTATTCCATGGAAAGAAGCTGTATGTCCATATATCAGTTTATAATAGGCTTTGCTTGTTGTCTCAGGAACCACATCACCAGTAACTGTACTTGACTTGTTTTGGCTATCAAGGGTATTGAAAAATACCAGATTCTCAAACTCAATGAACCCTCAGAGTCTCCCAGAAAACAGTAGCAACTCCATCGGCATTCTAGCTGGGTGTGTCCTGGCTGGTGCCAAACCAGAAACCCTCTGAGTACCATTTCAGAGAGGGAAACGCCTCCTCATTCTTTGCCTGGTCTCAGTAATGCATGCCAGGTCAGCTCTGTCATCTGGGATTAAATCCCAGGTGAGATTAACTTTAATAAAGACCAACCTGGTATTTAAAAGCACCAGCTGGAGTACAGAGCTGCTCAAAATTTGATAACCAGAAACTGGAGATAGAGGCAGGGAACTGGAACATGGGACCTATAAGAGATTTGGGTTTGTGTCCCCAGTGAGCAGCCCATCCCGATTTCCACAGTATATACCATTGCCCATTACTGCACCATTCAATCTTATTCTTATCTGCTCTTAATTTCCCCAAACTCCTACTCATCCCTGCTCCCTGCTCACTCTCCATTATGGCCAAGGTCCTGTTAACATCATTCATACCCTGTTTCTCAGGTTATCAGATTGGCATCAGGGCAATGCTGTCAAGCACTCATTGCTAGCACAACCATCTAAGTCGAGGATCAATTGCTACCCCACCTTCCTTCCATCTTTCATAAAATTCATTCATGAAATTCAGGACTGAGTAGGGACTTCAAACATTTCAAAAGGAAAGTGACATTAAACAATGGGACATTGTGCAAGTGAAAAAAAATTGTCAGAGGGCTTAAGACTACAGGCACCTTTTTTTCTTTTATTAGTATAGTGCAGAAATACTCTTTCCAGATTTTTTTTTAAAAATCTATTATGCCCATTTTCATAGAAAGACAAGATACACAGTGGTTTAATATGGATTTAATGTGCCCAGTTAATTTTATAGCTGTAACAATTGGCTTTAAAAAATGGGTGTGCCACACCATGCTGCTGCAGGATAGAACAAATCCATTCTGGATGTATCTAGTATTGTCTGCCCTCTAGAGGTATAGTTGGTATCTACATTTGCCATGGCAAACTGATGTTTTGCGTCAACCTGTTGTATCGTCGCTTCATTAATCAAAGATAAAAATGGAATGGTCTACAAAGCTGACCACTTGCATGGCCACATATGTAAAATCAATTTGTTTGTTTTAATTGTAACTGGCCACAAATATGGATCTTTCTGACTTCAAGGACTGTTTCTTGCTGGTTTGGTAAGTAGGCTAGTTATCAGGTTCCCGTGGTTGCCATAAAAATTAACGAAACAAGGATTGGAAGCCCTCAGACGCTGAGATAGAATAATTAGTAATTTCTACAAATGACTTACATTAAAAACTCTTTCAGACTGAAAATTGCAGATCCGACTGCTGTAAAATTTAAGTGGTCCTCCTATTGGCTCATTCTTTTTCTGATCTATATGTTTAATCAGTTTTATTTCTCTTATAACATCCCTTTGTCTTTTCCTTTTCATTTGAATCCTTTCTTCTGGGTAGTGATTTAGTCAGCTAAACACTAATTGCCTACCTTAATATTCCTAGAATTCCCTGCCTTATGGCACTTCTTTGCCACCACCAATTTTATTTCTTCAAACCTGCAAAACAGTAAAAAAGAATTTACAGTTATCTTTGCAAAAAAACACAAGGAATTTGTTGAGATCACTATGAGCTGATCAGAAAGGCAACGGCACTTTTGTAACTTATTTGTATCTAAGTTATAGATACCTAAGTTATAAGTATTTATAACTTTATTTGCAAGTTGCTGTAGTGTATGGAAAAAGGGAAGGTAGCTTATAAACAGTGCAGATAAGCTGCAGGGCTTCCATTGCAGCTGATGCAGGCTGTTTTGGCTATTTGTAGGACTCCCACACACGTAGCTTAGCCAAAGTGAGCAGGG